CAACCATGCCCGTGGAGACCTTCATCGACATCACGGAGAAGGAGCAGTGCGAGGAGCTGCGCGAGTACATGCTGGCGCTGGGCGCCGCCATTCCGCCCAATCCCACCGACTCCTACCTGACCGACCTCTCTCAGATCATCAGCGTCTGCGACATCGTCTTCAAGAACGTCGAGCGCGAGGCCGAGGTGGAGATGGTCCTCAACAGCATCGTCTCGGTGCTCATCTTCGAGGGCACCTCCAACAACTCGGAGGCCTGCTCCGCCCTCGTGGCCAGCTTCTGCGACCAGCTGGCGAAGACGAGCCACCAGAAGATGGCGGCGATCAACTTTCGCGTCCTGCAGAACCTCTTCAACGGGCTAACAAACAATGCGGCGATGCGCTTCCGCGTCTGCAACACCATCGTCAAGCTGAGCGCCGTCAGCGGGCAGATGCGCCAGGTGGTGAACAACCTCGGCCAGCTGAAGAAGTGGTTCCCCGTGGAGGTGCTCGGCGCGGAGAAGATCCAGTCCCTCCTCCGCCTTCTCCACTCCATCCTCATGGAGCACCGGCAGCCGGAGCTGGCGCACAAGGTCATGGTCGAGCTGCTCACCACGTACACCGACGAGAACGCGAGCCAGGCGCGCGAGGACGCCCGCAAGTGCATCGTGGCGGCCATCGCCGACCCGCACACCTTCCTCATGGACTACCTGCTCGCCCTGAAGCCGGTGAAGTTCCTCGAGGGCGAGCCGATCCACGAGCTGCTCACCATCTTTGTCACCGAGAACCTGGCCGCGTATCTGGAGTTTGCGAAGGTGAACGCCAACCAGATCGAGACGCTGGCGCTGTCGCACGAGGCAAATCTGCAGAAGATGCGCCTGCTCACCTTCATGCAGATGGCNCCTTCACTCCATCCTCATGGAGCACCGGCAGCCGGAGCTGGCGCACAAGGTCATGGTCGAGCTGCTCACCACGTACACCGACGAGAATGCGAGCCAGGCGCGCGAGGACGCCCGCAAGTGCATCGTGGCGGCCATCGCCGACCCGCACACCTTCCTCATGGACTACCTGCTCGCCCTGAAGCCGGTGAAGTTCCTCGAGGGCGAGCCGATCCACGAGCTGCTCACCATCTTTGTCACCGAGAACCTGGCCGCGTATCTGGAGTTTGCGAAGGTGAACGCCAACCAGATCGAGACGCTGGCGCTGTCACACGAGGCAAATCTGCAGAAGATGCGCCTGCTCACCTTCATGCAGATGGCGGAGACGAAGAAGGAGCTGCCCTATGCGGACATTCAGAAGGAGCTGCAGCTGGCCGCCGAGCAGGTGGAGCTCTTTGTCATCGAGGTGCTGAAGACGAAGCTGGTGAAGGCGCACATTGACCAGGCGAACCGGCGCGTGGTGGTCAGCTGCACCATGCACCGCACCTTTGGCCGGGCGCAGTGGAGCCAGCTGCGCGACACGCTGAACAAGTGCGACCGCAACATGGCCAGCGTCCAGCAGACGCTCTACAAGGCGGTCGAGATGTCATAAGGGAAAGATGGGATGATGGTTTGGTTTCGTATTTATCATCAAACGTGAACACACACCAGTGCGGTTTCTTTTCGCAGGATATATTCTTTTTCACACACACCCTATAGCCAAAATCACTTGCTAGTGTCCACTATCCTTGCTAAAATCTTCTTTTTTCTGTAATCGTTTAATCAAATACAGAGCACTTTTTCTTTCTTTCATTGTCTTGTGTGTTTTAAGAAGTTCCCCGGAAGCCTTTTCGGTTGCCGGCGAGAAAGTTTTCCGAAAAACTCGCTCTCATGCTGCGGCAGCTGTCTGTTTTCTTCTCTCATTGTTTTGCCGTGTCTCGTACGAGAAGAAGTAGACTTTTTCCTGAGCCTTTGAAGCTTCTAAACGAGATAAGAACATTCCCAAAATGGCGCAAATGGCGCAGGTCAACTGGGAGATGCTGAACGACATTGAGAACATCAACGCCGTGGATGAGATCTACAAGTACGACGACGGCCAGCAGAAGGACATTCTGACGGCGAAGCCCTGGGAGAAGGAGTAAGATTGTTGGGTATCTAAAAAGCCTTTTCTAATCTTTCTCTTCCATCCCTAGCCCTCACTACTTCAAGGACATCCGCGTCAGCGCCCTCGCCCTCCTGAAGATGGTCATCCACGCCCGCNAAAGCCTTTTCTAATCTTTCTTTTCATTTCCTAGCCCTCACTACTTCAAGGACATCCGCGTCAGCGCCCTCGCCCTCCTGAAGATGGTCATCCACGCCCGCTCCGGCGGCACCATCGAGATCATGGGCCTGCTGCAGGGCAAGGTGGACGCCAACACCATGATCGTCATGGACTCCTTCGCTCTGCCCGTCGAGGGCACCGAGACGCGCGTCAACGCCCAGGCGCAGGCCTACGAGTACATGGCGCAGTACACCGAGGCGGCCAAGCAGGTCGGCCGCCTGGAGAACGTCATCGGCTGGTACCACTCCCACCCCGGCTACGGCTGCTGGCTCTCCGGCATCGACGTCAGCACGCAGATGCTCAATCAGCAGTACCAGGAGCCCTTTGTCGCCATCGTCATCGACCCCATCCGCACCATCAGCGCCGGCAAGGTCTGCCTGGGCGCCTTCCGCACCTACCCCAAGGGCTACAAGCCGCCGGACGAGGGGCCCGAGGAGTACCAGTCCATTCCGCTGAACAAAATCGAGGACTTTGGCGTCCACTGCAAGAACTACTACAGCCTGGAGGTGTCCTACTTCAAGTCCGCCCTTGATAATCGCCTCCTCGAGTCGCTCTGGGACAAGTACTGGGTGCACACGCTCTGCTCTTCCAGTTTGTTGACGGTGAGTTTTGGTTTCTATTTTGTTCAGTTTCTAAATTTTGTTTTTAAATTAGAACAACGACTACACCACCGGACAGATCAAAGACTTGAGCGACAAGATTGAGAACTGCGAGTCAAGTGTCAGCCGCGTCGGC